ACCTGGACAGAGCCTTGTGTGAGATCCAGCCACCAAATGAAATCAGCCGAAGTCCCAGGAGCCTCAGTGAGAGGATGCATTGGACAGCTTGTGAGTGGAGAGCATTTGCTCTCCTCTATTCTCCTGTAATACTGAGGAATGTTTTGCCAGCAGTGTACTACAAGCACTGGATGCTTCTTCCTTGTGCCCTTCACGTCCTCCTCTCCCACTTTGCCACTCAGGATGAGCTCAACTGTGCAGAGTTGTGTCTGGTTCAGTTTGTAGCACAGATACCGTCTCTCTATGGACTCGAGCATTGTTCGTACGACTGCCATGTGTTGACGCATCTTACAGAAGGTGTCCGGAACTGCGGGCTTTTGTGGGCCAATTCAGTCTTTGTTTTTCAAGACATGAACAGCAGACTGTTGCAGATGTACTCTGGTACGCAGTCAATTTCATTACAGATTTTCAAGAATTTCTTTTCATATGAGAAAATAATAAGACAAGGAAGTGCTACCCTTCAGGACGCCAGCACAGAAATCAAAGACTTCTTCTGTTCCATGGCAAGTTGTGATCGTTTTACAAAGTCATTAAATTACATTGGAGAAGAGTTAGTGACTCTGGGAAGTGGCTCTCAGAGAGTTTTGACACCAAGAGAAATTGCAGCGTTGCAGAAGAATGAAACACTTTCGTGGTGCCAGCCACATCGTGACAGTGTAACTGAATATAAGCGTTGTGTTTATAAGAACATGCTGGTTACTAGTTTGGAGTGCAGTGGCACATTAAAAAGAAACAATTCAGTAATAGAAACGAGCAGTTGCTTTGCCGTGGTGGAGTCCTTGGTCGTTGTACCGAAACCCTGCAGCTGTGAAGGAAGGCCCGACTGCTCCTGCAGAGAACTGGTCTTTTTCTGCAAGCAGCTGCAACGACTAACCAGACAGCCAACTATCCAGGACACACAGATCAACACAAACATCGCCAAATTCCTTGTAAAAGTGAGGAACTCAAATGAACTGTGTGCAATAACATGCCAGGACATTGTTTCCAAATGCTTCATGATTGAACACGTGGGTCACTTATATGTCATGAGAATGCCTGTGTTTGAGACACATTAAAGTCAACCCCTGATTAAATCAAGGAAATCAGGTAAAAAATAAGTAAATATGTTTTCCATGTTCCAACAACTGATTTCCAACTGATGTATCATCATAAACCCACTGTGGGCAGTACTGAAACATGCAACAAGCACAACTTGTGTACTGCATTGATTAGGTTATTATTGCACCAGTGGAATAAAGTGATTTACATTAGTATTTTATCATTACTTTTTTATTTTGTGCAATGCTTTACATCTTCCTGTTAAAGAATACCAGTTCCATATTTTGTGTGTAAATTAGACACCACCAGTGAAGGTCCTTCAATTTCGCATTTGTTTTGCATATATCAGCTTTGATTAAAAAGTGGAAACTTTTGAAAATGTGCATGCGTTTCAGAACATCTTTGTGCTTCTTTGCTCTCATTTGGCTTTAATACCAGCAGCACCCATGCTTTATGGACCGGTTTGTTTTTTTAATCACCATCATTATCCCAGCATTATCTAACAGTTGACAAAAGAGCTTCCTATGAGGAATACTTCACGTGGCTCCATATTAATTTTGGCTGAGGTCAATAGACTGATTACATCATCTGATACCAATAAAAGTAAAGATAATGTTGGGCACAGGTTTGAGCTTTTGTTTCTAGAACAACTTTTGTGTGACACAATTGAAGATGCTGGAGGATTTCTCAGTGTAACTTTTCAAAGCAAATACGATTGTGGTGTTATTAAAGTGGGAGATTTCTACAGGTTACACTTCATTTAACAACACTATGCCCTGCCCTGTGGGTGCTGCTTGAGTTTAAACCATTTTTCTCCTTCAACAGGTCAAAGCCAAAGCACGGAACCCAACCACACAAAAACCGTTTAAACAAGAACCAGTCAGCTAGAAGTCTTTCACCAGATTTCCACCAGCTATCCAGCCATTGTGAGAACAAAATAAACACAATTTAGAAATGTGCATCACACGAGTAAGTGTTCGGAAAGGTTCCTTGCGCTGGGGTACTGGTACTCTTGGACTGACAACTCTACAGGGGGCAACAGGCAGATTCAGGCAACTAAAATCCCAAGATTGCTCCTAGCTTTAATGCTTGACTTGGACTGCAGCTGTTGATTATTTTATATCCATTGATTATTCCATTAACATGGGTATGTGTATTTGTGTATTTCTATGTGTCTAAATGCACTTGTGAATGAGTAAGCGTGTGTCTGCACTCAAAAAAAAGAAATTCAGCAACTTAATTTGTTCTTGTTGAGACGACATGATAAAATCTAGTAAGAGTGGTTAGTTGTATTTAAGGTTATTAAGGTATATTTAATTACCGTTACGTGTTTAATTGCAAACACGTTGCATACTAAGATGAACGGTGGAACAACAAACGGAACCGATGATGAGCAGGAGTTATTGGACTTTCTCATTACCACAGGTTTTGCTCATAACAGTAGCATCGCGTCGACCCCGCCCATCGAACACCTCAGTGGCTTCAGAGTAGGTTTAGCCTCTACAAGGCTCTTTGTGGAGAAAAGTGGGAGCGGCATGAGCATGTTCAAATACTTTTAATTGACGTGCACCCCTAAATACCTTTTTATTGCAAGTCTATTTTTAGTCGCAAACTTCGCTCGACTTAAATGGATTAAACCAAACATCAAAGAAAAGAATTTGCCTAGAGGATGTTGTAATCAGGTTACTCGAGTTCTGCGATGAATCATTGCAGCCCTACTCTTGACCTTGACTGTTTAAGAAACATGCTAAACTTACACCTACCTAAATACACCTGCTTATATCTCTTTCTCTTTTATGTTATAGTACCAAGGAGCAACTAGCTCTGCTTCATCTGATGATAAAACTACAAAAGACAACCTGACAGTGTTTTTCATTTGTTTCCTCTTTTTTAAAATATAGAAACGATGAGGTTTTGCTTTGTTTTGTGGTGGTGTAAACGAATATAAGTGTTGTGTTTATAAGAACATGCTAGTTACTAGTTTGGAGTGCAGTACCACATTAAAAAGAAATAATTCAGTAATAGAGACAAGCAGTTGCTTTGCCGTGGTGGAGTCCTTGGTCGTTGTACCGAAACCCTGCAGCTGTGAAGGAAGGCCCGACTGCTCCTGCAGAGAACTGGTCTTTTTCTGCAAGCAGCTGCAGCGACTAACCAGACAGCCAACTATCCAGGACACACAGATCAACACAAACATCGCCAAATACCTTGTAAAAGTGAGGAAAATTAAAGAATGCCTGTGTTTGAGACACATTAAAAGTCTGTCATTTATGATTTAAGTCAGACCTCTGTGGGCTTGAGTTGGAAAACGTGCTAATCTTTAAACCAGCTCTTCTCATTAAACCTGGTTAAATCCATCCATCCATTTTCCCAGTAATCTAAACCGAAATGCCCAGATCACCCTGTCTTACCCACATGTTTCTGGGAGATGTGAAGGCAAGCCAGCTGAGAGACATAATCTCTCCAGTGTTTCCTTGGTTTTTCTCAGGGCCTCCTCCCAGTTAGACATGCCTAAAATACCACATTGAAAGGAACTCAGCTGGTTCCTTTCAATGTGGATGAGTAGTAGCTCTACTACTAGGCCCCTTCCAAATGACCAAGCTTCATCCTCATCTCTAAGGAAGAGCCCAGACATCCTTCAGAAAAAGCTAACTTCTGCCATATGTATCTATAATCTCACTGTTTTACTTACTACCCACAGCTTGTGGCTATAGGGTCAGGGACCGAGCATAAGGTGACAGTGGCCTATAGAAAGCCTCCTGCAATATCAGGATTTCACTGTCTCGGTTTACAGGTGTCTCCATGTTTTATTTGGTTGACATCAGGCGATGAATAAATTAATAATAAATAAAGAAATGAAATTTACTGAGATATAGAATAAGGACCGGCCTTTCACTTCAGTTCTTCGTAGGTTATAGCTTCACTCTTCTCTGTAGTTGGCTGATCGACCGGCAACAGCACAACCAAGAGTGACCCACAGACTAGTTGAATCATGCTTTTGACACTGCCCCCTTCTGACAGCAAACACTCTCTGCAAGTAGACGGGCCATCCATGATTGCCTGCAGACTGTCTTCACACTATCCTGCTTAGGCATAAAACAAGCATCCAGACTCCTCAGAGAGTCTGAGAATAACGCTGAGCTGAAGCAGTTCTGTGAAGACAACGAGTGACTTAAAAAGGTCTAATTTCCAGCTATAAGCAAGGTAGAAATATTCACCAGTTTTTCCACCAGAACCTGAGTTGTTTATCTGTCTCCAGATAGGTGAAAAACTAGTGAGTGTGTGTTTTCTAGCAGATCGTGTTTGCACATTTTATGATCAATTAAAGCTGAAAACCAAGTCTTTCCACAAGCTTTTCCCCCCACTGCGTAATAATCTGTGTTTATTGTGTATCACACATTGTATCTCCTTGTTTAGATGAGTTTTTGTGAACGCAGCTTCCCCCTCCTCTCCTCTGAATCACTGTGAGTGTGCAGACACACTGGGCCTGTTGTCCACTGTCATGCCTCCCAGGGGACCTGCTGATCCTTCTTGTTGTTGTCCTCATGATGAGTTGCACCCCTGATTGTCGCTCAGGGCATTCCTATCAGCATTCCTCTAACCCGCTGACCTGTCATGACCCCACAGGGCCCCTCCCCTCCTGGTGACCATGCATCTGCCACATGTCAGTCACTGCTGTCACATCAGCCAAATATAGATGTCTGAACAAACCTTCCAAATTATCCAGTCTGTGTTTATCATGAAGCAACTTCTGTGACTCATCAGATTTATATTTGCATTTTTCTCTCTATGTCCTGTTGAATTCACTTGGGATTTCAGGTGAGGTTATTATCGTCTCTCCACCATTTTCAGGCAGTATAAACATTAAAATGCATTTCTGCTGCAGGGTAAGCACAAGTTATTGTTTTTTGTTTTTGTTTTTATTTCAGCAGCTAACTGAAACGATGCTGACCAAAACTTGACTGTAGCTATTAAGCAGTTAGCAAAGAAAAATGGTAAAATAATTATAGCTGATGTTTGTGCTAATATAGGAGCATCACAGTAAATTTTAGATTGGTTAACAAACATTCCTTTAGTTAAACTGTTAAGGGAATTATTATTACAGGAAAATATTTTAACAATTCTAGTCAAATCTACTTGTTGAAAAAACATCTAGAAACTATAGTAGAAGTAAGCGTTTTACACAAGTGTTTACATTAAAAATATTTTTAACTTTTAAATATGATAATGTGCAGCTGTATTCAGCATGGACGTAAAGAGGTGAGTTTATTTATGAGGTTTTGTTTGTTTTTTAGTGTTATGCTTCCCCCATTTCTACGGGGTTTGGACTCAGTGGAGACCTTCAAAAAACAGCTAAAGACATTTTTATTTCAAAAAGCTTTTAATTAGACCAGGGTTTTTATGATGTATTTTATGACTCTATTATGTTTTTACCTTGTAAAGCACTTTGTGACATATGTCTGTGAAAGGTGCTATATAAATAAACTTTACTTACTTACTAATGTGATTTCTGGTGTCTGTGGACAGATGTTCATTCCATTCTGTTCCATTCAAACTTCTCCACCACCATGAGAAAGACCAAAGAGCTGTCAAAGGATGTCAGGAGCAAGACTGTAGACCTGCACAATGCTGGAATGAGCTATAAGACCATCAGGGTGAAGTTTGGTGAGAAGATGACAGCTGTTGGTGCAGTTATGCAGAAGTTATTGAAGACATTTAAAATGACATTCAGTCGACCTTACCTCATGGGGTGAGGATCATCATGAGCAAGGTGGGGGATCAGCTCAAAACTATAGGGGCTGAGCAGTCATCAAGGACAAAACTGGTAACACACTACGCTGTAATAGATTGAAATCTTGCAGCACCGGAAAGGTCCCCCTGCTCAAGCAGGCATTTGTACATGCCTGTCTTAAGTTTGGCGGTGAACATTTAAATGATTCAGAGAAAGTTCTGCGGTTTGAAACCAAAACCAAGCTATATGGCACCAACTCAACCCACTGTGTTTGGAGGACCTGAAGAA